TTTCCCGATGCTCAGAGGGAACCTCCTGTGTTTCAGTTTGTGCCCGTTGTCACTGGGCACCCCCGAAAAGAGCCTGGCTCCGTCTTCTTTGCACCCTCCCCTCAGGTACTGAGATACGTTGTGGAAGATCCCCCTGGAGTCTTCTCCAGGCTGAACGGTCTGGATTAGATCTTTACTTTTGGATTAGATCTTTGCTTCCTCGTGTTCTCTCAGTATTTCCTGAAAAAGCACCCAAATTGTCTTTTCTTTCCTAACAGACACAGGACCAGCCCGGGGTTTTGCTAGTGCTTCCGCCACCTCTTTCCTCTCAGTTCAACAAGCTCAGATGCGCTCAGCTTCTTGTCACTTCGGGGCCTTACAGATCAGCTTCCAAAAAGAGCAGACACCAGCCATAAAGGTGTGAGGACGTTCCTGATATGCTCCAGTCCCTGTTTACATGCAGGAATGTGTCACGAAACAGATACTGTCACACAGAGCGCAGAAACGTGGGGAATCTTTTATCGCATCCAGCCTGCAGCATCCGATTCACTCGCGAGCGGCTCTGAGCTGTGACTTGGCTCCGGTCACAGCAATGAAAGCAGTAAGCAAGCTCTTCATATAATTTCATCACTTCTCCCAAAGGTACACAGAGAAACTTGAGCTTTTTTTCAGACTAAAAAATATCTGCCACCAAAAAAAAAAGTATGTGCTAGACTGTATGCAACAAAGCCATGCTAACAATATGTTTTCAGCTCCACATTCACTAAAGTACTATATTTTCAGGTGGTCTATTTGAAAATAATTTAGGTTTCTCATTACAATAAAATAAAATAAATAACTGTCTTTGTTCATTAATCTTGTTAAAATGTAGGATTTGATAATTTGTTTTGAGATCATCCTTACCAGCTCTCTAACTCATGTGAGACAAGCAGTTGCTGAAACATATATACATTAACATCTATAGTTAGCAGGTGAACAAGTGCAATACCATTGCAGTTGTCATTCAGTTATACTAAGTTATGCACAACGAAGAGAAAACAGGAATCATTCTCAAAGAAAAATGTGATGCATTTTTACAGAGCAAATGCAAAGCACTCTCTTTTCTTAGATAACTTGTAATATGAGAGAGCATTGTTGGTAACGTAGGGAGTATCTCCAAGGAAGGAGACTCCAAAAGCTCTCTGGGAAACCTGTGCCCAGAGAATTTCCTCTGCTCAGAATACAAACATATTCAAAGCAAGAAAACCACACGAGTTGAGTGCAGTGCCATCATCCCACGGCACTGATGTGTCCCTGTACTGGGAATGGGGGTATTTAGTGTCATCGTTCCAGCATGAAGATAATAATAGGATGCGTGCGCCATGAAAGGATGTACTCCCCTCCCATTCATCACAGACCTTGTTAAGCTGCTTGTCACTAATTGACGCAAATCTGAAATTCACACTCTTTTAAAATAGAATTATATACATTCTTTGTTTAAAACCAGATGAACATGAAAAAAATACCTCATTTTCAAGGGCACCCTTGTTCACTCCCAGTGGGATCAGCTCCAGGGATGCAAAAATCAGGACAAGTTCCTGCCAGGACAGCTGGTGGTAAAATCTCCCTGGAGCTTTTCAAATTGAATTCCTTAAACTTGCAGCTTAGAAACTGAACAGCCGCAACACGAAGCCTGGACTTAGCCTGTGTCCTGGGAATCCTGCAACCCTCTCCTGTCATTTTGCTTTCAGGTGGCTCCCAAGTGAAACGAGCTGAAGAGCTGGGCTGGCTGGGGGATTGTGTAGCGCCGTGACCCTGCTCAGGCTGCCTCCTGCAGTGATGCTGAGAGGGGAACAAAGCCAAAGGTACAAGGGTGCAGCAGATGCCTTCTGAGACCATGGTTATTATTTCAACAGTCAAACACGTCTTTCTTTTAAAGCATGATGAATAAGCAAGAAGATTGAAGCCAAGCGGCTAATAAGATCCCCTGGAGCTCCCAGGGCAGTTCTTGCACCTCTGCTGTGGTCCTGCCATACACAGTCTGACGGTTGCTGCCAGGCTCTGCTTGCTAAATGTCACAGCTTGCTCCTAGCTAAACAGAATCCATTTTCTAAGCAAATAGGAAAATAAAACCCCTTTCCCCTTCTCTGGAATTCTCTGCCATGAAATTCCACACATACAACAAATAAAACCATCTCGAGGACTGCCTGGCTTCCACTTGTGCTGTAGAGAAATGCTTTAGTGTATTACCCACACAGTACACAGCCTGCCCCAAACGGCACTTTGCTCACTCATTTCTGTGGACATCCTCAAAAACTGGTGAAGGGGCTTTTCTGTACCCTAAGAATTTCTGACTGTCATACAGACATGTTGGAGCACAGAACAGAGAAGCCCCCGGTCTCCTAATTTAAACTGGAAAAATAACCCTAAGCAAATAGACCCAGCACTGAGGGGAAGAGTGCCTTTGCAAAACCCTTCTGAGCTAAGCATCTAAGCAAGGATAGTGACGAAGTCTCCAACACCCAACGCTTCACACCTGAGGTCCAGGTAGGCAACAGCTGATCACATTTGTCCAAATCATAGGACCGGTCCCTGATTTAATATATCCTGCAGGTGCTGCTTATTTGCTAGCTCCCATGGCTGCCACATTTTCTTACAGTCCACAGCGCTTTCGTTCCAGCTCCTGAGACATCCACACTGTGTCCATCTCTTCCTGTGCATTAACTGTCAACCTGAGGGAGTCCAGTCATTCCTCTGCGTTTCTCCTTTGTGGCCAGGTCATGTTTGGTGAACAAGATCTCAGGAGAGGGAAAACCCACCTGGAGAATGAATCTTACAGCTTTGCTAATGCACTCTAAGCCAGCTTACAACTTGAAGTCAACTGTCAACCTGTCCCCAAAATGGCATGAAATTTGAAAACATATTCAGGAAGGAATTTTATGTTATAATTTCATATTTCGGTACTGTAGTCACCTAGACAATCAACTTCACACCAAAAAAAGATTAAAATCATGTATTTCTACAGTCCTATATGAAGGTCACCAGATATTCACAGTTTATGTAATTATTCGTAGCCATCTAAAAATAAACTATATCCTCCAATAATCCCTTGAGGCCCTGGACACCCCTCCACAACCACTTAACATTTTAAGAGGGGAGGGGGGGACCTGTTATCTTTCAGGCACCCCGCTTCTTCATCACATTTTACTTGAGTGCTGATGGACTCCGAAACCCCCTGCTAAAAATCAAGGGTAATGACGCAAGAACAAACTGAGAGATGAAGTTACTCAAGACCACGCAGACAAATCCAAGAGGGAGATCTCAGAAGACCTATTCAGCACTAACAGGGATCAAGTAGTATAACAGGAAAAGAAGCGTTTCTTTCAAATGGTGTTGGTTGCACGTGGAATATGTAAGATCTCAGAGATAAAGCGTACTTTTATGATGTTTGGGGGGGGAAGAAGATAGGGCAAAGAAGAAGATAGGGGAAAATTTTTAGTCTTTGCAATACCAGGGTCACGTCATTTTACAGTCATAGCTTGTATGTGTGGTAGCTGAATCATTCAAAAAAGCCAACCTCACCTCCCATTTTATTTACTGCAGTACACTATTTTTTCAGGTGAAGATGTGGCCCTGTAAAATCTACTGCCTCTTTCTTCCTTGCAGCGAGGATATGCTGAGCGTGCAGCATTTATTACCCAAGTGCCATCAAATGAAATCCTAACCACAGGCAGCATTGATCACGACGTGCTTCCCACCTCAGCACGTTAATCATGCAGCGCACTTTCTGACATTTCCAGGGGAGGCTCTCACGCTTCCCTCTTTCCTAAAGGAGTCAGAAGGGAAGATGCCCCACGTTCCTTTCTCCTATCTCATTTTGTTCCAAGACATACACTGCCATTGCTGCTTCCCTTCTGTCAGGGTAATTTTAGATTTTAGTAGGTTAGCAGAATGGTGCCATATAGTCAGTAATAGCTCGCATCTTACCGGGAAGGTCCACGGATCTGATCTTCATTCTCCCAACCTCCTTCCCCATCTACCTTTGGGCTCTAGTGGGGTCCACACATGCGCCAGGAGCCCTTCCAGCCACGTCCAGCACAGGGCAGAATGAAAATCAGTTGGGCTTCCTGACATGGCAGGAAAGGGTAAGGCTACCTGGTTGCCAGCTAGCAGTATTAGGTCTGTAACTCAAGAATTAGCCATCTGTGCTGAACGTTGCTTCAGCTGGCCAACAGTCCTTTAATTTTTATCTTAAAAACATGTGTCACTTTTTTTAAGTTCAGGAGCGACACTGTGATTCCATTCCAAAGATTGTCAACATATCTGATTCAGCTGCCAGTTCCGAGTTTATGGAGGCAATTTCTCCGTGCCTGAACAGTGCACACTTGGCTAAGAGCAGCTGAAAAGCTGTATAGAAGAAGCTATTAAAGATCGTTTTCCTTAATGTGTGGTTATTTTCATTCATGCATCAGCCTACTCTTTTTTATATATGTATATTTCTGGGCCAGAGATCATGATACTTAAAAAAGACACGTTAGTCCCTGCAGAATTGGAGTTATAGGAGAGAAACAGGAAAAACAATGCAAGAATAATTATGCAAGAAAAGCGGCAGCAGTTCTGCATGAAATCACATCAGAAGGCTGGAATAAATGGGCTTGAAAGTGCCTTGGATAAAATGGCTTGATGCAGTTTACTGGCCGCTGATTTTGCACTTCTGCATCTTACGGGGCAGAGCAACCTCACTCCTCGTGCTGAGCTTCAAACCCCACATCCCACAGGTAATGTCAGCACGAACTCTTGCTAACAGAGAACTGTGCTCATTGTTCCAGGTCCAGTGACAGCAGCTGATGAAGGCAGAGGTCACCCACATTTTTCATCTGTCCGCTTCATAAACAAGCATGACCTGGATCCAGTTTTCGTGCAGCTGCACGACCTGTTGGGCCCATTCCTTCCATCACTGCATAATTCCCCACATATATATCCCAGGTCTTTGCATTCCGTTGCAAAGGGCGCTCACTGGCCTTCACAGCTTAACAGACAACATGCAGAAAATGGCGCACTCTGCCATGAAGCTCACTGTTACTCTTCTCATCACCATGGTGCTCTGCAGCTCCCTTGGTAAGTTTTGCCAATTAAAAAAATAGAACTTTAAATTTTTTAATTTTTTTTATAACGTCAAACTCATTAAACTTCTGCACAAAGTATTCGAACTATTCAGAATACCATTAAAACACCTGGTGGAAACTATTCTAGGAAGCAACAGAAAGGCATCTTGATGCCTCCTTTAAAATTTGCAGAGAAAGCTGGCAGAAACGATGCCCCCTTGATTAGCACTGAAGACTTCTGGTGACGACACGGAAATTTAGCTACCTGGCTTCCAAGAAAATACTAATCACAGCAGCTTGTGTAAGGTTGCTGAGATTTTTTTCACTTGGACACTTACAGTAGGGTTCATCTGACTAAACTTGGTCTCTGCAATGTGATGGCCAGTGTTCGAGTACGCACCCTGGCTCTCCTTTGAATCGAGGGACGGGGCTAGAGTCGGTGACAACGCACCTCACCGCAGCACAGGCACCTACGCTGGATTAGATGATCTGTCCTGCTGGTTCCAGGGACTAGACCAGATGTGGAGGCTTAGCCTGAAGCAAAAAGAACCTGACATTACTCTGTCATTTAATGACGGGTAACTACTACCATCACCCAACGTTACCTCTTGGCTTGGCTCCTTGAGCCCACAAAGGTGCCTAATCGGAGGCATCGTTGATGCCAAAGTGTCAGAAAACAGAAAATAAATATGGGGAAAGAAGTAAACTTGGAAGGTGGAAATGCATATGAAAACAGAGGCAATGTAATTCAACACGTTGAGGGGGCGGTGGTGAACTCACAGCCTGGTTAATTCCTCTGAGGTTATTAACCAAGAAGGTAGTTATGTGCCATTAGAGTAAGAGAAACAGCAGGGTGGTCAGGAACATGCTGTACACTGATCAGACAGTCCAAATTATCTCATCAGCTGACGAACCTAATGATTTCATAAAAGCAGGTAAAGAATATGGGTTTTAATCAATGTGATTCTCACATTAAATCTTATAAATTAAGAACAGGGATGACAATAAAAGGAGAGGAGGGGAAGGAGAGGCGAGGCGAGGCGAGGCGAGGCGAGGCAGAGGGCTGAAGACCAGGCAGGCAGAAGCTTATCCATGAATGGTGGGATTCCACCAAGGGACCTGTGCAACAGAGCAGATCCTGCAGTGGCAACCCATTTCTCCGAAAGCTTTAAAAAAACCCCCGCAGAGCTGAGAACACGCTCTGCAAAAACTTGGTGTGATTTGTGTTTCATTATTGGGGTGGAGGGTGTTAAAGGGTAGAAGGAGCTGAATCTGAGCAAGTGAAAGGTTTGTTCGTTACACTCCACTTTGTCTTTCGTACTCCAGGAGCTGGCTCGGCGCATGAGATTGTCCCTAGCTTTCTTCAGACACTTCTTGAAGGCTCTGCTGAACAGCTGTACACCGGGCCAATTTCTCGATATAAAGTCGATGATTTGACTAGAGCTGCTTTGACCGCATTAAAGGAATGTATTGATGAGCTTTCTCCTGAGCACGTAAAAGCCCTAGTCAATCTGCTGGTAATTCATTCCTTTTATTATTATCACAAATGTAACTGTGCAGCCTTGTACCAGATTCTGGACAAAGAGCACCCAAATACTTTAACTTAAGCGTCCCTTGGCCTCAGGTTCGGTTGCATACCAGCACAAAGCTTCCAAGTGCTTGGAGAGATCGTTAAACAAAAGATGGTCTCTACAACAAATACAATGATTTTTCTTACTGGCTAGAATTTATGGAAATGCTGACTGCCCCGGTGGATGAAGCACCTGCTTCATGCAGGTGTGTTTTTAGGAACAGAGCCAAGATGAAAGAAAACTTGTAGGTAATAGCAAGAAAGACTCCGGCATGTGTGACACTGGCTCTTTGTTAGTGTTCCCACACGAACTCGCGACGTGTCCTGACCTGGTGAGCACCCGCAGGCGAGAGACTAAGCCTTTGTCCTCTTGCAAGTTCTGCCAGAGGTTACAACTTCAATATATAGTTCGGGTATCACAGGTAAGCCTGGCTTTTCTCTGCAGTTGCATACTTCTGCATGCTACATTCACTGCTCTTACTTTCTGTTTCAGAAACTTGTTCGGACAGAGACCTAAATTGACAAAATATTTGGCCCAGCTGCTGACAACGCTTCTCGATGACTTCCAGTTTCTCATATCCAAAGCCTCTCAGAAAACAACAAATACAAAAAATGGAGAAAACCAGGATGCTGGCAGCTGTTTTTCCATACTCTGTGTGCCGAGTACTACACCCTGTCACCTTCCAGTCTATTTTAGATCTTATTTCTTTAGAGGTAACATTAAGTTCTAAATAAAATTCAGATGATGTTTTAAAATTATTTCTGTCATCTGTTTTTATAAATAAAGGTCTTTTTTTCTCCTTCTCACTGTTAGGACAAGATGCTGTTTGTTTTGATAAAGTCTAAACAACAGCATTATTATGTATACTGGAACACCCACCACACACAGGCACAGACACAAACACACACACGGTCAGCAATTTAACTCTGGATGACTTGAGGGAACCATGTCCTCAACCAAAGCAACTTTTTCCAAGTGTTGACCATTTTTCAAAATAAATGCAGCAGTTCTGATAGCAATAGATCCAAAACTCGCTGAGCATGAGCCGAACAGTCAGCTGGCTTCAGACCACACTCGTGGTCCTCTGAGCATCCCCAGGAGGCACACACAGAGTCACCTGGAGGAGAAGGGATATTTCAGTGTCAGCACTGACTACAGCAAAAACCTGGAAGAAAGCTGGATACCCAGTGATTCCCGAGGGAAAACTGGGCAGACAGTACAGTTGCACCTCACCACAGAGCCCTCGGCTGCTCCTTTGCAGATGGGACTGAGAGGAAAGTGCCAGAAGGGACAGTGGGTGGTAAACTCCATCGAGGGCTAAATACCGGCACCAGACCGATAGCCAACAAGTACCGTAAGGGAAAGTTGAAAAGAACTTTGAAGAGAGAGTTCGAGAAGGTGTGAAACTGTTAAGAGGCAAACAGGTGGGGCCCGCGCAGCCTGCCCGGAGGATGCAACCCGGCGGGTTGCTGCCTTTCAGGATGCCTCCACTTAATTTTTGGATCTGCCAGAGAAATCAGTCATGTCACAATTCGTATCTGTCCCCATTCCCCCAGAAGCAAGTCTGATCATTTTTAGGACAGGTTGTCTCTTTGTGAGTGTGAACACCGAGTAGGAAGGGTTCCAGTTTTCAGCTGAGGTTTCAAGCTACTCCTATCCTACAACCCTCTGGCATCTATTTCACTTGAAGACAGGAAAATCAGTAGGAAATTTAATCCAAAACAAACATTTACAGTAGTACTCAAAATGCTTGGAACCAGAGTTTAGAAGGACTTGCTAATGATTTCCTGCCAGTCAAAACCAGCTTTAAAACAACTACCCTTGACATTTGGATCACCGCATCAAAAGAAGAACAAAACCTGAAACATCTAATGAGTATAAACCAAATCTGGATTTCCGTTGCTTGCTAGCAAAATGTTTGCCTTATGGATTTGATCTACACAAAGACCCTTTGGGAGGATTTTTATGTTTTACAGTCATTTTTTTTCAAAGACAATATCCAACCTGTTGGCTGTACAGAATTAGACAAGTGGACAAACAAAAAGTGAGGAGAAGTGGCTACGCTGATGAGCTGCAAGAACGTTACTGTGAGAAAAATACTTTTTTCTTAGGAAAGTTTTAACATTTTTTTTCTTCCAGATAATCCTATTTGCTCACCTATTCCTCAGTTCCACACTGTCCAGCATGGCTGCAAGCTGTACCTTCATTCCGGCATTTCCCATTGATTCCCATTCCCTGATCACCCTGTGCAAAAGCAACTCCGGATTTTCCAGGTAGCACAGATACAGAGGAAATGGAGAAGAGGTAAGGGTGAATTAGGAGGCATTTCAACTGAGACTCTCCACACGGATAAAACCTCCCTGAACGTGTGCTGGATTCTCAGTGAGGGTAGAATTGGCCCCTTCTTTCTGAAGCAGAAGCAACTGGATTTGGCTGTGAGAATCTGCTTTTCCATTAGCAATGCTATAAAGTAAAACTTTCTCCTCTCACCCAACATACACGACCCATCCATGCTGCTTCCTCCAATGCTGCAGTGCATGGGCAAAAGAGAAGAAGGGAGAAAGAAAATCCTCTAGAAATGTTTTACTCTTGGGAACTAGTCCTAGCTCCAAACCTTGTTTCTTTCCTAAATGACTATGAGCACACAGACTCCCTAGGCTGCAATTTCTTTGGTTACTTTTCACACAGATATTCTTGTGTTTTCCCAAGAAACTGCTGTGGCAAATTTCAGGTCAGGTGCCAATCCAAATACTCATAATCAGAAAGGTTTAGCATCTCCTTCAACTTCAGCAGATTTTTTTTTTAATGTACTTGTATTTTTTATCTTTTTGTAAACATCGTTCTAATCTTTTTGTCCAGACTCAGACACTTGTCAAGTGCTAAAGACAACATAAATCTAGGGATCCCCGATCCCCGATCTTTCAAGCTACCAAACATCAGTTGACACCTGCTAATACCCAGCACCAAGAACTACTCACCGAATATATTTTCTTCTTTCTCTCCCTGCTTAGTAACTAGTTACTGTAAAGTAATAGTAAAAAAAAAAAAGCGTTGCAGACACTGGGGTTCCACGAATGGAGAAACCAGAGCAACTGAAATGAGAGCTTTGCTCTCTCACTTCCCCTTAACATTAAGATCATGATACAGAATGGATGAATCATGAAAAGCTGGATACCAGCCACAGATTGGGAGCGTTTTCAGATTTCTCCCCAAGAAGTCAAATGCCCTGTTTTTCATGGGTTTCTTGTATGGGTAAGAATTGTGAGCGGGCACAGAAGGGTTTCTGTACGGGACCTGGCTGGGATGCAGGTAATTTTTTTCATCTCAGTCTGAATGGTGCTGTCTTGAGTGTCGACAGCACACCGACGTTTAGCTGTTGCTGAGCAGTGCTTGCACAGCACCCAGATCCTCTCTTCCACTGCTGTCAGTCCATTTCTGTCTCACCCCGACTCTCATCCCTGCATGGGACAGGTCGGAGACTTCATTCAGTGTATAACCCTCTGCCGTGCCGGCTGCCCCTGAGCCCTGTGGACACCCTTCATCCCAGCCGAGAGGTGGTGAATCCCTTTTTCTAGGGCCAGTGCTCAGAGGGCTGCTTCCCCAGCAGAGCCCTTCCCCGATCACACATCCCAGGCACCGCCTGTGCCCCTCACCCTGCTCCTGTCCCCTCCTCACCCAAAGGACCCCCTTGTGGTCCCCCGCAGCAATGAGTAGGAGCTGCATGAGTAGCACTGGTCCTGCTGAGGTCCCACAGCCAGCTGGGGTGTCCAGGAAGGCAGCACCCTTGCTTGTGCGAGGCCCTGGGCGTGTGCGAGCTCCTTGTGAGAGGTGGCTGGGAGGGCACTGGCTGCTCACGTGAGAGCTGGACAAGGCACTAGGTGCCCTCAGGTTGCTCATGGAAAGGGCTGGGTGCTCCTTGGGTGCTCGTGCAAGGCACTGGGCGCACCCAGGGTGCTTGTGCAAGGGTTTGGCAGGGGGGAGAGGAAAGGCGCTTCCGTGAGCTCGTGCAAGGGGCTGGGTCTGTCCGCCTTTCCATGGGGACACAGGTGGCCAAGGGACCCAGGCATCTAGGTGACCCCCCTTCATCCCTACACACCCCCACTGCCCCCCCAGTGACCCAAGC